TCCCGAGTCCTTGGGATTATAGGCATGTGCCACCTCTCCCAGCTCGTGATTGAGGATTTTTTACTAGGGAACATTAAATTTATATATATATATATATAATTTATTACTGGGAATTGAACTCTGGGCACTCAACTACTGAGCAACATCCCCAGCCCTATTTTGTATTTTAGTTATAGGTAGGGTCTCACTGAGTTGCTAAGCACCTCACTGTTGCTGAGGCTGGCTTTGAACTCTATCCTCCTTTCCTCAGACCCTGGAATTACAGGCGCTTGGCCTGTATTTATGTTTTACTGGGTGCTAAGGATCGAACCCAGTGCCTGGTGCATGCAAGGCGAGCACTCTACCACTAAGCTACAACCCCAGCCCTCCCCAAAGTTTGAGAGGCTGAGGTAGGAATATCATAAGTTCAAAGCCAGCCTCAGCAACTTAGATCCTGTTTCAAACTAAAAACCAGGCTGGGGGTGTGGCTTAGTGGTGAACTGCCCCAGGTTTAATCCCTGGTATCTCCAAATCTTGGACTCATCCTTGATGATGCTGTCATAATTTATAAAATCTGCAGCAATTTCTGTTCTTTTATGTATGCTGTATAATATGGTAGCCAGAAGCCACATGTCACTATTGACCATTTGGAATATAGCTAATATTGAGATGTGCTTTAAAATGTAAAATGTACAAGAGCTAGTGTTGTGGCTTAGCGGGAGAGCTCACCTAGCATGTGTGAGCCCTGGGTACCATCCTCAGCACCAATATAAATAAATAAAGGTATTGTGCCCAAAAAGGTATTGTGCAACTAAAAAATATTTTTTAAAAAATGTAAAATATACAATGTGAAGTTTTGAGGACTTGGTATTAAAAAGGAAAACCTTAATTTTTAAATGTTGATTGATGTTAGAATGATAAGTTTTTTTTTTTTTTTTTTAGATTGAGCATTGATAAGTGCAATCTGTCACTCACTGTGCTATGCCCCCAGCCCTTTTTATTATTTGATACATTTGTTTTTTGTAATGCTGAGGATTGAGTCCAGGGTTTGATCACTGAGCAACATCCCCAGCCTTTTTTTTTTTTTTCTTTTTGACACAGGGTTTTGCTACGTGCTTAGGACTTACTAAGTTGCTGAGGCTGGCCTGGAACCTGCAGTCCTCCTGCCTCAACTTCCCAAGTGGCTGAGATTGCATGTGTGCCCTGCTGAACCCAGGGCTTCAACCTCCCGAGTAGCTAGGATTACAGGATTGTGCCATTGCACCCATGTAGCTAACATTTTTATGGATAGATGAGGTAAATGGTCTCATGGCTTACAGCCATTTTATTTTAGTTTTTATCCATTACTTCTGAAGAGCTTTAATTGTCTCCACTAAAATGTAAGCTCTTTGATGGTGCCAGTTATCAAACCCAGGGCCTCATGCATGCTAAGCAAACATTCTACCACTACCACTGAGCCTCATTTCAAGCCCAATAGGGACTTCTTGCTCTAAACCAGTACTTGATATGTAGAACAAGCTCAAACAATGCTTGTAAAATGGTAGAGTACATTCAAACTAATAAGTTTAGACCCTACCTCTAAATAAATTACCAATGATTTTTATTTGTAATAAACATATGATTGACATCCACTGTCAATCATGTGTTTCAGCTGAGAAAGCATGCTGTTTCATTCTAGTATGGTTTTGTTTTGATTTTATCTTGGAGCGTCTCGTGGTTTCAGAAAACAGAATCACCAATTTATTCCAGTTTATTTTTGTGAAATTGAAATAAAGAAATTGATGGGCTGGGAATGTGGCTCAGGCGGTAGCGCGCTCGTCTGGCATGCGTGTGGCCCGGGTTCCATCCTCAGCACCACATACCAACAAAAATGTTGTGTCCGCCGAGAACTAAGAAATAAATATTAAAAATTATCTCTCTCTCAAAAAAAAAAAAAAGAAAAGAAATAAAGAAATTGAAACTCTCAGGTCATAGCTAATTCAGGGATGATTATATATATATATATATATATATATATATTTGTAGTTGGACACAATACCTTTATTTTTATGTGGTGCTGAGGATCAAACCCAGAAATCCAGTGCCTCACACATTGCTAGGCAAGCACTCTACCCCTGAGCTGCAAATCCCAGCCTCAGTTTGCAGTATCTTAAAGGCACATCTTCTTTAGATTTAGAACTTTTTTTGAGGAGGAAAAGCAGGAGTTAAATTATCTGAGAAAACTATTATGGTAGATCAATGACTACAAGTAACTTAATATTTCATGTTGGGTCTTTCAAAAATTTCCAGTTTAGCCATTGTATGGTGGTACTTGCCATAATCTCACCTACTCAGGAGGTTGATATAGGAGGTTCACAGGTTCAAGGCCAGCCTCAGCAAATTAGTGAGACCTTACTTAGATAAAAAGGTCTGAGGATATAGTGCAGTGCTAAAATGCCCCTTCACTTATTTTATTTATTTATTTGTAGTTGTAGATGGACAGAATGCTTTTATTTTGTTTATTTTTATGTGGTGCTGAGGATTGAACTAAGTGCCTCATGATTGCCATGCGAGTGTTCTGCCACTGGGCTACAGCCCCAGCCCTCTGTTACATTTTTTAAATAAGGGGGTCCCCACACAGTGGCACATTCCTGTAATCCCAGCAGCTGGGGAAGCTGAGGCAGGAACATTGCGAGTTCAAAGCCAGCCTCGGCAAAATCGAGGTGCTAACGCAACTCAGTACTAAGACCCTACCTCTAAATAAATTACAAAATAGGACTGGTTGATGTGGCTCAGTGGTTGAAACAAGAACCCCAGAATACAGAAGGTGCTTAGTATTTTATTGACGCAAGGAGTTTCTTTAATGGAATATTATTTGTAGATACAAAATTCTGGGGCTGGGGATGTGGCTCAAGCGGTAGCGCGCTCACCTGGCATGCTTGCGGCCCGGGTTCAATCCTCAGCACCACATACAAACAAAAATGTTGTGTCCACCAAAAACTAAAAAATAAATGTTAAAATTCTCAAAAAAAAAAAAATACTGAGCAGTTGATGGCTTGGCATTGAATCCTTCCTTTTTTAAAATTGTTTTTATTTTTCAATTCTTCAATTGCAAAATTGCTTTTTTTTTTTTTTAAGAGAGTGAGAGAGAATTTTTTAATATTTTTTAGTTCTCGGCGGACACAACATCTTTGTATGTGGTGCTGAGGATCGAACCCGGGCCGCACGCATGCTAGGCGAGCAGGCTACCAGTTGAACCATATCCCCAGCCTGCAAAATTGCTTTTTTAAAATTTTTTTTAGTTGTAGATGGACACGATTTTTGTGTTTATTTTCTTTATTTTTTATGTGGTGCTTGTGAGATGAGTGCTCTACCACTGAGCTACAGCCCCAGCCCATAAATTTGTCATTTTGAATACTTGACTAGGATTTTAAAGGAAATCATTATGATCTTCCTATTTATGGATATATTTAAGCACAGGTTCAGTGACTCCTTGTTAAAGGGGAATGCAGATGTTATGCAAATGTTTTATTACTTTGTTTCAATATTTTGAATACTTCCTTTTAATTCTTTGAAGTATCAATTTATATTTAAGGGTGTTGATGTAACAATAAGTTTGTAATAAGTTTAAAATTGAACATGATACAGGAGTGACTAAGTTAATTTATCTCCAGCCTGCCTCTAAAGATACTTTATTTTCTTGTTGTCATTTGGCTGTCATTGCCAACAGCTTTGCTGCTTTTCCCTTCCCCCCATTCTTGCCTCTTCTTTATCAGGTAAGTAATGCTTCTCAAATGAAACACTGGAATTAGGTTTTTTGTTTGGTTTGGTTTTGGTACCTGGGATTGAAGCCAGGGGCATTTAACCACTGAACCATATCCCCTAGCCCTTTTTATGTCAGGATCGCACCGAGTTGCCAGAGCCTCACAAAAATTGTTGAGGCTGGCTTTGAACTCAAGATCCTCCTGTCTCAGTGTCTGGAGCCATTGGGACTACAGGTGTGTGCCCCTGTGTCTACCTTGGAATCAGTTTTGTAGAAGGGGCTATATATCTTAAAGCTAAACTCAATTGAGTGGGTGGGTACCAGAGGTTGAACCCAGAAGTGCTTGACCACTAATCACATCCCTATTCCTTATTACTATTTTGTTTTTCAACACCTTTATTTCACTTATTTATTTTTTTATGTGGTGTTGAGGATCAAACCCAGGGTCTCACATGTGCGAGGCAAGCACTGTACCACTGAGCCACAACCCCAGCCCCTATTATTTTTTTAATATTTATTTTTTAGTTGGACATAGTACCTTTATTTATTTTTATGTGGTGCTGAGGCTCGAACGTGCTAGGTGAGTGCTATACCACTGAGCCACAACCCCAGCCTCCCAATTTTTTTTTTTTTTTTTAATTTTACTGGGGATTGAACCCAGAGTCCTGTGTGTACGAGGCAAGCACTCTACCAATTGAGCTATAGCCCCAGCCCCACCACCTTTTTTTTTTGACTCCTCAGTTTTGAGATAGGGTCTTTTTTAGACAGGACTCACTGAGTAGCTAGCCTTGCTTTTGCTGAGGCTGGCTTTGAACCTGCGATCCTCATGTATCAGCCTCCCAAGCCGCTATGATTACAGGTGTGTACCAACACGTCCATCTGGGGGACTTTTTCTCAAGGGTGCTTCACCACTGAGCTGTATTCCCAGCCCTTTTTATTTTTTGAGACAGGGTCTCACTAAGTTGCTGGAGCTGATCTTGGATTTATAATCCCTGTTTTAGTCACTGAGTTTCCAGGATTACCCAAAACAGGTGTGTGCCACTGCACCTGGCTTCCCAGCTCAATTTATTCTTTTCAAAAAAATCAAACATGCTGCATTTTAAAGAAAGTAAGAATCACCTCACATCTTTTTACCCACATAAAAATGTTAACTTATTGATGGTTATTTATTAGATATCTCTTTTAATATTTATGGTTAAATATTTAAATATGTGTATAGTTTTATCTAAATGGAGTTTTTTCTTTACATGCTGCTTATTGCTTTTAAACTCTTGTTCAGGGTTTGTCGATGAGGCAGATCAGATTCCGATTTGACGGGCAGCCAATTAATGAAACAGACACACCTGCACAGGTAAAGTCTCTGTTATTTAGAAAAATTGTGCTTTTTTTAAACAGGTTTGTGTATCAATTTGTAAACTTTTTGACTTGGAGAGTAATTGTTGTCTCCAAGGGACATTAGAAAGAGAAAAATTGGACTAGATTGAGGAAATGCCAGTGTGGTTTTTAATTACTCAGTTACCACTCAGTAAAGGGTTATTTAATTACTTAATAAATCCCATTTTTCCCTTGTTGTGAGCATTATTTGGGAAAAATAATTAAAATCATTGTCTCTTTCTTCAGAATATAAGTTTCATTTGTTTTTGTTGTTGCAGCTCTTGATCATATCCAGGGTTCTCCACAGGTAATTGGTTGGCTATTGATCCTGTCCACTTAAATTCCTCATGCTGAAGTGAATTTGTTTTCATCTATTCTCGAGAATTAATTACTCTTAGCTGAAAAGTCTCCTGATACCTTAGTTTGACAGGAAGAACTCTTGATAATAAGAGATTTTTCAAACACTTTGTAAGAAAGGTGATGATCTCTGATCCTTAATCTTTTTTACATATCAGTTCTGTGACTTGTATGGGATTGGTTGGTCTGTCTCCTATGGCAGAACACTTTGTTTCTATTTACCATTTCAATTTAAGACTTTAGTCCTGGAAACAAATAATTAACTTGCTAGCAGAAATTTAAATTGCATCATTTATACTTTTGAATTTCAATTTTGTTGCCCAGTGTAAGAAAGATAAGTGTGGTATTAATGAAGTAGCACATCCAGATGTGGTTGATGATCTTCAAAAAATTGATGTGTTGATGATCTTCAAAAAATCGACATATCTGAGTTCTCTAGGGGAGAATATTTTGTAGAAATTTCCATTGGTGAGTCTCCATAAAGCAATTGCATAGTGTAGCCGCTAGGAGGTGCTATAGTCTATAAATGATGGCCCTTTTTTTGGAAGGCTTTTACAGTTTTAGTTAAAAATGTAACAATTCAAGCTGGGCACAATCCTGTAATGCAAAGCGTGGAGGCAGGAGAATCACAAGTTCAAAGCCAGCCTCAGCAATTTATTGAGGTGCTAAGCAACTCAGCAAGACTGTCTAATAAAATATAGAATAGGGGCTAGGGATGTGGCTCAGTGGTAGAATGCCTCTGAGTTCAATCCCTGATTCTCCCCGCCCCACCCCACCCCCAAAGAAAAGTGACATTTCAGTATGAAAAGGTAAGCCTTAATTAAAGAGCCTTTTAAGGTGGGCTTTGTGGTGTACATCTGTAATCCCAGCAGTTTTGAGAGGTGGAGGTGGGAGGATTGCAAGTCAGCTTCTGAAATTTTGCAAAACCATGTCTCAAAAATATAAATGTCTGGGATGTGGCTAAGTGGTAAAGTCATAGATTTCAGTCCCCAGTACAGGATTGGTGGTAGGGGAGAAAAACTCCCCGTGAGGGATTATAAAATGTTTAAGTACAGCTTGGAATTATTTTGATTCATTTTAGAACTCTCACAGTTTTTCTCAAATTACATAAAAAGTTCTATTTACGAACACAAATGATTAGTATGTGCCCCTCATTCTGCTAAATGGTTATGGTTTATTTTCTTGGACTCATTTTTAATTGTTATAACTGAGTGATATTTTATAGAAGTGGGAAATGAGAGTCATGGATTTATTTTATTTAGGTACTGGGTGTGTTATCACTGAGCAATATATCCACAGGTTGGTTTTTTTTGTTTTTGTTTTTGTTTGTTTGTTTGTTTGTTTTTGAGACAGGTTTGTTTAAATTGTTAAACCTGTTCTTGCTTGAATTTGTGAACTTTCTACCTCCTGCCTCTGCTTCCCCAATACAATCTTTGGGATTATAGGCAAGTAGCCACCATACCCAACTAGAACTAGCGTTAAAGAATATTTTAATATTTAATATTACCTCTACTTTTAGTCTATTTGTATCTACTTAGAACGAGCTTCCTTTCTTGTCTAAGGTATCCAAGGGAACTATTTTATTTTTTAAAAATCACTATTTAGCTGGGTGCGGTGGTGTTTTCCTGTAATCCCAGAAAGTCCTAAGGCTGAGGCAGGAGGGTCACAAGTTCTGGGCCAACCTGAAAATTTAGTGAGACCCTGTCTCAAAAATTTAAAAAAAGGGCTGGGGAGGTAGAGCACCCCTGGTTAGAGTCCCCAGTTCTGAGGGGCAGGGTGATCCGTTTTTAGAAGGAATGGTTTAAAAGTTAATTAATTTGAAGCATAGTAAATAATTAAAAAGCTGATTGACTTTACAGTGTTTCAATATGTGCTAAGACCTTCCTATCACCATGGTTGTTTTACAGATAGTGTGTGGATAGTAAATCTTGGTAACTAAATTTTTGAATATAATTTTGGAATTTTAAATTGTTTTTTCTATATAAATAAACTTGCATGATAAAGCGATTCAGAACTCCTATTACCTATTATCTACACTCATTTTTATGAATTCATAAAAACAATCTAATCATACTATAAGCTATTAATCTGCTTAATTTTTAAATTTTATTTTTAGCCTTATTTTTGGGATATAATGTATCATGTTTTATTTCCTTGAGTTTCTATTGACAAGTTATTCCCCATCTTTTTCTGATCTAAATATTGCAGTAAGGTCCAGTGGACATATCTAGCTTTTTAACTTAAAAAACAAGATTTCTGTGACATTCATTTAAAAAGGAGGCCAAGTGAAAAATTACTTAAATCAAATTTGATGCCTGATTAATCCATGACATCTAAATTAATCAGTGGTCTTAAATTTGTTTTTCTGTTTTATACTAGTTGGAAATGGAGGATGAAGATACAATTGATGTGTTCCAGCAGCAGACAGGAGGTGTCTACTAAAAAGGGAACCTGCTACTTTACTCCAGAACTCTGTTCTTACAGACCAAGAATACATTCTCGATTAGAAAACTGCAATTTGGTTCCACCACATCCTGACTACTACAGTATAGTTTTCTTTATTCTTTCATTTTCCCCTTCCCCATTCCTTTATTGTACATAAAGTAACTGGTGTATGTGCACAAGCATATTGCATTTTTTTTTTTAAACTAAATGGCTAATGATATGTTTTGATTGACATCAAATGGAGATGGGATGGGGAAAAATACTGGTTCTGTGAAAATATCCCCTTTCTCCATTAGTGGCATGCTCATTCAGCTCTTATCTTTATATTCCAGTAAGTTATTTTGCTCTCACTGTTTTAACAAAAAACAAAAAAACAACAAAAAAAAAAACCTGAACAACATAAAAATCCTTGCATACCTTGTTCGATTGGAGAATTTTAATGTTTTTCATTTATCATTGTAAAACCAAGGACAATTTTATAACTTTTTTGTACGTAGCTGTTACATGTAGGGCAATCTGTCTTTAAGTAGGGGTAAATTACTCTTAAAAAAGATTCCTAGATAGTTTTCCCTTCAAGTCAAGCGTCTTGTTGTTTAAATAAACTTCTTGTTTAAAATGAGCTGTTTTCTTTATTCTGAAGAGTATTAAATAAAAAGTTGAAGCCTAGAATAAAACATGATTTGAATGGGCCTGCTGGAAGTAACATTTCAGAGAAGGAATGAAATTGTTAAGCATTTCTGAGGGAATCATATAAACAAGGAGTAGCAAAGTTGTATAAATGACTGGCATTGGAAGTTTTGGCAACTTCAAAAAAGCTTGGTACACCTGTAATCCCAGCATCTCAGGTGCCTGAGGTAGGAGAATCTCAAATTCAAATTAGCCTCAACAATTTAGCAAGGCCCTTAGTAATTTAGTGAGACCTTGTCTCAAAAAAAAAAAAGGGTTAGATGTGACTCAGTGTTGCAGCCTCTGCTGCCAAAAACAAAACAAAAAAAGGAAGATAAAGCTTTGTTAAGTCCAGTTCCAAAAATGCAACTATACTAGCAAATTATTTGGGTCATAATGTTATGGCATTCAGTAAGAATATTCTCTTTTGTAACCACTACCCAAGGCAGAATAGGGCAGTTCCTGTATTAAAAGATTCTGATTTTGCTTTCTCAGCTAGTCACCTCATAGTTTGAGTAACTAAGAAACCTAACAAAGTTTTTGTTCCTCATTTATAGATGTTGAAGGACAGAAAATGTCTACATTTCTACTCTTAGAGTTAAATACAAGACACTATAGTTTTTTAAATATATGGAGAAAAATTATAGCTTTATAAATGGCTTATCCAGTTTTATCCTTTTCCTTGGGGTGAGGATACTGAGGATTGAACCCAGGGGTGCTTAACCACTGAGCCCACATCTCCAGCTCTCTTTCTGTTTTATGTTGAGACAAGGTCTTACTAAGTTGCTTCAGATTCACTAAATTGCTGCTCCTGAACTTTTGATCCTTAGAGAGGAATCTTGGTAAATTGTTCAGGTTGGCCCAGAAGTTGGCAGTCTCCCTACCCTTACTTAACCTTCAGAGTCACTGGGATTATAGGCACGCTCCACCACATTCCCTGAAGGGTTTTTGTCACTGGGACTTGGGCTGGGTGTGGTTGTGCACCATTATATTCCAGCTACTCTAGGGGCTGAGACAGAAGGATTGCAAATTGGAAGGCAGAGTGGTCAATTTTAGCAAGACCCTGTCTCAAAAATATTTGAGCCAGGCATGGTGGTACACCTCTATAATCCCATTGACTTGGGAGGTTGAAGATCACAAGTTCAAAACCAGTGTCTGCAATTTGTCAAAACTTAAGCAATTTCTTGAGACCATGTCAAAAGAAAAATTGGCTGGGGCCAATCCCTGGTATTGCGTAAAAATAAAAAAGCAAACCTAGAATTTTGAGATTGTGTTTCCTGATGCCCCTCTCCTTTTCCCCACTGACTATTCATATGACCTTTTTTGGTCAATTCTCCAAGTGCTAGCATGTAATACTTCACTTAATTCACTCTACTGTGTTTCAGTGTGGTGTTTACCTTTTATGTAGTTGATGACCCTCCCCAGAGACAGGAGGGATTCAGTAGGTTTTTTAGCTTTGTATATGTATGAGTCTGCAATCAAGTGAATTTCAGTTTCTTTTCTGTGTAGTGGTATCTGCCAGTTTTTCCAAAATTTATACTATAAAATGGGAAACTTGGACAAGAATTCTCAGAATGAAAAGTCTAGCATGGTTGAACACATCTATATATGATCTCAGCTACTGGTGGGTAGGACAGGAGGGTCGCAACTTCCAGGTCAACCTGGGCAACTCCAAAAGACTGAGTCCCCAGAAATATTGGAGTTATAATAGCTTAGTGGTAGAGGCTTGCCTGGGTTCCATACTCTGTGTTGAAAAAAAAGTTCTTGGTATGGAGAAATCAGGTAAGGATAGTTCTCTTTACTTGATACACTAGAATACTATTAAATATTGGAATTTGTGGTGTCCTTAAAATTAGATGACTGGGCATAGTGGTACATCACCTGTAGTTGCAGTGACTTATGAGAATGAGGCAGAGGGATCTTGAAATTCCAAGCCACCTTGGCAATTTAATTAGATCCTGTTTCAAAAAATAAAAAGGGCTGGAGAGTGGTACAGTGCTCCTGGGTTCAATTGCCACCAGTACTGCAAAGAAAAGGAATTAAAAGTTGGGTTTTTTCCTTTTGCATGGGTCTTTTTTTTTTTTTTTTTTTTTTTTTGAACAGTTTTAGTTGTAGACGGACTCAGTACCTTCATTTCATTTATTTTTATGTGGTGCTGAGGATCAAACCCGCTGCTTCACCCATGCCAGGTAAGTGTTCTATCACTGACCTAAAACCCTAGCCTCTTGCATGAGTGTTTAGGTTTTATGGTGCTTGGTATAGAACCCAGGGCCTTGCACATGGGAGGCAAGCTTCTACCACTGACCTTTAACTACTGCCCTTTTTATTTTTTTAAGATAACGCTTAGTTTTTTGGTTTTTGTTTTTAATAATTATTAGTTGTTGAGGGACCTTTACTTATTTATATGTGGTGCTGAAAATCTAACTTAGTACCTCATACACGCTAGGCAAGGGCTCTACCACTGAGCCACAATTCCAGCCCCAATTGCTGCTCTTTGTTAAGTTATATATTGAAACTGGATCAGCTTGGTGATCTTGTCTGCCTCCCAAATGGGATTACAGGTTTTTGCCACAGGGCATATCTGGAAACGTCACAAATTTGTTTTATGCAGTGCTGGGGATAGAACTCAGAGGTTTGCACATGCTATGCATGTGGTCTGTAATTGAGGTATATCTCCAGCCCAAGGAAGATAATTTTAAAATTCTTTCATAGAGAAACTTGGGAGAATTTTAAAAAAGAGAGGGAAATGCATGGAAAGGCCACTCTTTGATGATAATGATATTTGGGACTGCTACTTTTTTTTTTTGGGGGGGGTACTAGGTTTGAACCCAGGGGCACTTAACCACAGAGCCACATCCCCATCCCTTTTAAATATTTTATTAGAGACGGCGTATCACTGAGTTGCTTAGGGCCTTGTTAAATTGCTGAGGCTCTCTTTGAACTTGTGAACCTCCTGCCTCAGCCTCCGAGCCACTGGGATTACAGGTGTGTGCCACTATACCTAGCTGGGACTGCTACTTTTTACCTTATTTCTGTCTTCAAACTTGTTAAATGTTTTGTTTTGTTTTCTCTCTAGAAAAAGGAAAAAAGTTTAATGTTTTTAGTTGTTCATGGACACAGTACCCGTATTTTACTTATTTTAATATGGTGCAGAGGATTGAGCCCAGTACTTCCCACATGCTAGGCAAGTGCTCTACCACTGAATCCCAGCCCCAGAAAAAAAGTTTATTGCTTTTCTACCAAAGGAGAAATAAACTGACTCCTGTCCCAGGGTCTCTGATTCTCCCCATCAAGGGAAATAGGATTTAAAAGAGGTGATTCAAAAGAATCCTGATATTAGGGAGGGGAGAAAAATTCATCCATTTAGAGCAGCAAGGGTTATGTTCAAAGTAGGAAAAGGGCCACTGTTAAATTTCCCACTGTCAATTTCTATATTACCTTTTCATGGAAAAGTGGGCAACAATATCTCCAAGCTGCTTCCTACTGAGAGAGGGCAAAGTTGGGGGGAAGTGACCAGATTTTCTCCAGGTAGGGCATACCTATTTAAAGGTATTTAGCATCAGGCCTGTTTAGAGGTCCCTTGCAGCAGTTGGCAGGTGACTGGACCAGGCATACATACATAGGGCAGGGAATCATTCTAAAACAATAATAAAATAGCATTCCTTTTTTGTAAACAATTAGCACAAAAGCAATTAGTGTTTCAGCCACTCAACATTCAGGACAACTTGGGAATCTAAAGTCCTTTGTGATAGTTATAACAACTATTGGCATATTATAACAATTATAATTACAACAGTTATAGGCATTCCCACACAAGAAGCCTTCCTTGCCAAGGTGCAGTGGCACACGCCTATAATCCCAGCAGCTTGGGAGGCTGAGATAGGAAGATTGCAAGTGCAAAACCAACCAACCCCAGCAAAATCAAGGTATTAAGCAACTCAGTGTATCCCTGTGTCTAAATAGAATCCAAAATAGGGCCAAAGAGGTGCCTCACAAATCAAGTGCCCCTGGGTTCAATCTCCAGTACCAGGAAAAAAAAAAGAAGAAATGTACACTTTAAATTACATTTTAAAAACCCCAACCATTGTCTTTCCTTTGAAATGTCCATGTATGATTGTGCTTTTATTATACTCCACTGTCAGATCAAGTTGATCCAATTTGACCTTTTCCTTATCTACTCTTTGGGCCAGCTGAGATTCCTCAGACATCACTTTTGGGGATCTGTGAGAAGCCTTTGGTTCTTCTTCCTCTACCAGTCCTGCCATCTGCCAGGATGCTGACCATATGTGACTTCCTTTTGAAGCATCAGGGACATTTTCCTCTCCAGTGATCCTCTCTTTACAGAATGTGCACTGGTTGGTTTTCTGTTCTCTAGGATCCTCTTGATCTCCCTGATCAAGAGGTCAGGTGACTCACAGCCTTACAGGGGCCTTAGAAGGGATTCTGTCATTCCCTGGGTCTTAGCAGACCTAAGAGGGCAAGGGCCAAAATGTTGACAGCTTTTTCCTTGGCTGTTTACTTCCTTCGCTTTGGATCTCCAAGTTTTAGGCCAGCTTCACTAGTCTTAAATTGGGAGTAATAGGTTATTCTCTCCTTATTTAATGTAAGTAGCTACTGAGAAGACAAATAACTCTGTGGTACTAAAAATAGTAACCTTGAGTATCAAAATTGTAAAAAATCAGTAATCTTTGCCTTTTTATTGAGCCTGGGAGGAAAGGTTGAAATGATGGCAGTTATAGTGCCATTTTGGCTAACTCTTATTACAATTTAGCTAAACTCTTACTGCTACCCTCATTAAGTCCTATATGTTGGTCAGTTGTGGTGGCACAAGTTTGAGGCCACCTTCAGCAATTTAGCCAAACCTAAGCAACTTAGTGAGAGAGACCCTGTCTCGATATGAAAATTAAAAAGGGGTGGGATGGGGCTCAGTGGTTGAGCACTCCTTTTCAGTTC